ATCTTTTGTGTCTTTTGTGTTATATAAAATCTTACATGTAAAAAGTATTTGAAGATATTGTGATTCAAAAGTTTTCATATAGTTGAAGCATTCACGATCCAAATATGATGATTTGAAGAAATGGGTTATGTCGCATCGATGGTAATTGTAATATGATTTTTTCTTTCAACCAAAACAAATGAAACTTTTTTATTCTTTCTTTATATTCAGTTTCTCATTTAATCTTTATATGTGATTTGTGTGTATTACTCAATCTTGAATGTGACTCTCCAAACATCAATGTTTTGCTTGGAATATCTTTCTGATTCTTCTTTATCAAGAAAAATATTTTGATTGCAGGTTAGTGAAGAATTGTCATCAAGTTTCTATGGTTGAATGATGTTAAATGAAGAAAGAAGATTTTATAAAATGGATATAGGTTTTTTTGTTTGAGCAAAGTTGATGATTGTTAGTTTTTTCTTTTGATTTAAATGTATGTTCTTTATTTATATATTCAACCACCCAATGCTCATATTTATTTGATTGTAGTTTTTCTATTTTGATTATGTTTATTTTCTATTATTTTTTTGTTGGGTTATCCTACACAACATATTTAAAAGACAATATTTAAAAGATAACATAATTTTGAACATTTGATATGTAATTATGATAGACTTATCATGATATGTTCTTCATATGAAAGTAATTTATCCATATTACTACGACAAGAATTACATATGACATTTACGAAAATATATATATTATATGTGATTTGTTTAACATGTATATGCACCTATGTATGTTATAAATTTATAATTAAATATCTTTATGTTTAATAATTGAAGGGATTACAATAATGCATCAAAACCAATTATTTAGACGAGTATAATAATAATAATAATAATAATAATAATAATAATAACAACAATAATAATAAATATAATAAATATACATTTCCAAGTACCGCATTCATTTGAAACTCACACTACAACTCAAGAGTTTTCTAATTTATGTATATTTATTAGTTACAACTCAAGAGTTTTTAACTTATGAATATTAATTAGTAATCACTAATAACTTTTTATTTTCCTTTCTTTTATAAGGTTGTAAAGTTTTGCTCATTAAAAACATTAATGTATTTGAATAGATTTGTGATTTAAATATGAAGGGTTAATATAAATGTTATAATAGATGTTTTAGTGTTTTTATGTTATTAAAAGTTATAATGTTTATTTTTCATATTTTTTATTATTCGTTGTATATATATCTTTTTTAATACAAATGTTATAATAGATGTTTTTTCCATTTTTATGTTATTAAAAGTTGCATTTCATATTTTTGTTCATACGTTTTGTTACCCCGTTATATTATCATTCATTTGATATATAATTTACACAATTTTAAACGGTTTATAAAATTATCAAATAATTGTATGTATATCACAATGACTTAAAAATTAAACAATAATGTTTAATAAAACTAATATGTTAACTATATGTTTGCTTTACTACTAACATTTTGTTTCAAGTAAAATATTAAATAATAATTTGGTAAAAGTTATTATTTTAACTATATAATTATATTCTCGCGCAACGCGCGGGGATTCGCCTAGTATATTATATAGAGTAATAGGCGGCCCGCTTAAAAAAAACCTTAGCTTTCTTCTTACGATTGATGCAAAACCTCGCATCCTAAAAAACGCAACGGGTTCGGCTTTCGTTAAACCCTCAACGGCTCCAGATTTCTTCTTCCGGTCTTCAAAGACGCAATTCTCAGCCTCCATCTTCGTTATAGGCTAAAAATAATCAGCTTCCAGCATCAATCAACACCCCTACGTTCGAGTATGCAATCACAGTCACCGGTTAAAAATTTTGCATCCTCTTCGATTCTTCTTTGTTGTGTTGTTAATGTATAAGGGAAACATTGTCCGTTAAGGGCGTATCTTATCATCGTATGTCTCAGATTCTATATTCCTCGTATTCATATTGAAGCTATGTGAAATAATCAAATGTAGAATATGTTGGTTTTGATTCACACTCTGTTTAGTTCAGGCATAAATCTGCAGAATTAATTAATGATTACAATAGAAATTTGCATAATCCATTATTATTTGTTGCTAATGTATAAGGGCAACATAACCTTGACTTACTGGAGAAAAGTATATGTTGTGGAACCTCCAATCATGTTTCAAAATGTCAAAAAGTATGAAACTGAATATGCAAAAGTCTAATGGAATTGAGTGTTTAGTTTGTTGAATGCTTTTAAAGAAATTGGAATCATGTTTTATGTTACAAGAAATGGAATGGAATTGAATTCCTTTGGAATGTTTTATGTTATTTATTGAAAGAAGTTGGAATACGTCGTGTTTAGTTTGTTGAATGTTTTCTGTTATTTATTGATTTCTTATCCATGACAAGATTTAGAATTTGACATATTACATTTTTGTTTTTTTTAATTACTTTTTTTTTGTTGTTTTCTGTTGTCTGTTTTTTTTAACTGTTTTTGTTTTTTTTTTCTTAACTGTTTTTTTATATATTTTTAGATATATGAAACGAATGAGTATATTAAAGATGAGACGATTAACCTTGAAAGCCCAACCAATGATCCAGTCTCGGTAGTAAATGAAACACAACCTAAAAAATACAAACCAAGATCCAAAGTTTGGGACCAATTCGAAAGGTTTAAGGACAAAGACGGTGTTGAAAGATCGAAATGTTTGTATTGTGGTGTCTGACGATAAAGTGTGAAGGGAAAGGGTATGGTACCAAATATCTTTTAACTCATTTAAACAAATGTAAGCCTTACTTGGCTAAAGTAAACGATGGTCAAACACAAATAGCTTTTGGTGATGAAAACATATTAACATCTTGAAAATTTGATCAAAAAAATAGTAGGAAGGCTTTGACCCACATGTTAGTAGCTGATGAACTTCCATTTAGTTTTGTGGAATGTGCGGGCTTTAAATATTACAATAGTGTTACTTAACCAATGTTTAAAATTCCATGTAGAAGCACAAGCACAACTGATACCTACCAATTGTTTGAAGAAAAAAAAACCCTTCGAGTTTTTATTTAAAAAATACGTTGGTAGGATTTGTGACCAACGATACTTGAACTTCTACACAACAATCAAGTCATATGTGTCTCACCGCCCACTTTGTAGACAATGAATGGAAATTGAAAAAAAAAAATTGTTGAGTTTTTGTCCTCAAGAGAGTCATTGTGGGGTTGATATTAGAATAGTGGTTGAGAAATGTTTAATAGATTGGGGAATAAAAAATGTTTTCACAATTTCGGTTGACAACGCATGTGCTAATGACATGGCAATTGCGTTTTTTTTTTTTTAAAAAAAAAAACCTTTCAAAATTACAACAAGTGTCTCTTAAATGGGAAATGGACACATATGAGATGTGTTGCTCACATTTTAAACTTAGTGGTGCAAGATGGTATTAAAAAGGTTGATAGGCCGGTTGAGATAATTAGGTGGGCGGTAAAGTGGATTAGGCAATCAACTTCAAGAATTGACAAATTCACCAAGTTTGTTAAGCTTGTTAATTTGGGTACAACAAAACACTTGGTAAGAGATGTCCCAACAAGTTGAAACTCTACTTATCGTATGTTGAATATTGTCCATGTTTATGAAAAAACTTTTGAGAGATATGATCTAGAGGAATATGAGTTTTCGTTCCGACATTGAAAATGCGGGTTTATCGATATCTTCACCGAGGGAGGGTTTTGGATCAGTATAGGAGTTCTTTGACTCCTAAGATTATTGAAAGTATAATTTGTACCCAAGATTGGTTTGAGGGTGGTATAAGTGACAACATCGATTTTGAACAAGATTGATAATACCTACAAGAAATTGATAAAGGTACTTGTTTATCTTTAATATTTTTTAATATTTTGGCATGTTATGTTTTGTCCTTTTAATGCTTATACTATTTGTATAGATTTGTGAGAAGTTAGCACGTCTAATCAGAGCACGGATTGAATACGGAAATAAACGTGGCAACATGAAGATGCAAGATTGATGAATATTTTTCTGAAACTAAGAACCATTTGAAAGTGATTTGAAATGTGGTTATGTTTTGAATTGGGTTATGACTTATGACTTTTACTCTTTTGTTATGTTTAGACTTTTATTGTTTAGTTGGGTTGTGTTAAAAAAAATTAATTTAGTTTATTTTCTTTTCATTATCCATAGTTTATTTAATGCCGAAACTTGCACTATATGCTCTCTGATGATAATATGTTTTTCCATAAACTGTTTTTTTTTAATCAAAATTTGAAATGGAATGCAAAAATTACATAACATATTATAATGACTTGTATTGTTATCGTATATGTACTTGTTAATTGTATGAAATATTTTGCTACCCAATTTTTTATTAAACCAATCCAAATGTAAAAAAAAAAAAAAAAAAAAAAAAAAAAAAAAAAAAAGTGACTCAAATAATTTTTGAGTATACCCGAAAATACCCGACCCGACCTAAAACCCGAAACCCAAGAACCTAAATTACAATATAGTTCGGATATCAGGTATTATTATCTTAAGAAAATACCCGAACTACACGATTCATTCTACCCAAAACCGGAAAATTTTAGCCGATCAACACCCCTATATGTCATGCTTCGATCCATATGTTAGTCACCGGTAATAATGAAACTTAGGTTCCTATTTGATCATATATGCGCTGTTATTGTTGTCTTTTTAGCATAATATTAGTTGAAATATCATTTTTTAAAGTTTAAATTAAAAACTTTAATTCCCGGGGTAAAATTTTAAAATGTCCGACCCGACCCGATACCGAATAACCGAATTGTAATTTGGATCGGTTATTGGTTAAACATTCGGCTACAAAAAACATGAACTACAAATTTTCCTTGTTCATTTTCTTATTTTTCACATTGATTATTAACATACTCTTGATTGCATCTCGAATGATGATGTAGGGACGAAATTTTTTAATAACTTGAATACAAATCCTAGTTAGAAAGATAGGAACCAAAAACAAAACATAAACCCATGTTATTATCGAATCAGAGTCAACAATGAAAATGTGAATTTTGTGACAACTGTTGAAGTATTGGAGGTAGTAGTTACTAGTTACAACTTACACGCACACGCAATCGCCACCCTTTGGCCTAATCACGAAAGAACAGAGCACAATCCTCACCGGTCACCAATACCATGAGATTTCTCTCTTTCTCTTAAATCTCAATTCCAGAGTCATTTTGTTTCTAGTCCTCTAGACCAGAACACAAAACAAAAAGAAAATAAATAAAAAATATAACTATAAACTGAACAAAGGGCTTAGGGGGTCCCCCCACTTGTACACTAAATTAAAAAGAGAAAACCATCAGTTGTTAGACGGTAATTGCGGATGAGCTTCCGTCGGCAAGTGGTCTCCCGGAGCCAACAACTTCTGTTTTACTAATCTGGTAATCTTTTCCAGCAACTGTCCTGCTTTTCTCTTCCCTCTATCAGTCCCATGATGTAACAAATCCATCAATTTCCCCATAACCCCAAGCTCTTGAGCCTCCACCAAATACTTCTGATCACCGGAACAAAGGTGGACCAAAACCGCCGCCGCGTTCTCTTTATTCCTCGGAGATCCACTTCCGATAACTTCAACCAAAACCGGCACCGCCTCCGCTTTCCCTATCGCCAATTTCCCTTCCGGATGGCTCGATAGTATCGCCAAAATCGCCAACGCCTCATCCTTCATCCCGCCGTGTGCCTCCGTCAGAAGCTCCATCAACATCGGAACTACCCCCGCCCTAACCGCCCTCCCTTTATTCCCCTGATAAATACATAAATTAAACAACGCCGTCGCAGCGTCCTTCTTCCCTCTCTGTGTGCCTTCACTCAACAACAACACAAGAGGCGGAATCGCTCCTAACGAACCTATCGTCACCTTGTTTTCGTCGATTACAGAGAGACTAAACAGCGTCGCCGCCGCATTCTCCCGCGCTTCCATACTACCTTTCCGTAACACCTGAACAATCCCCGGGACAGCGCCGGAGGATACAATACTCCCTTTGTTGTCTTCACAAATCGAGAGATTAAGAAGAGCGGTGACCGCGTGTTCTTGCGTCCGGGAATCCGGTGCTGTGAGGAGGTGAGTCAGTAGCGGGATTGCACCAGCCTCCGCCACGGCCACGCGGTTGTCGGCGTTACGTTTTGCGAGGAGACGGATTTCTCCGGCGGCGGTTCTCTGGTCGTCGGGGCTGATGGAGTTAAGTTTACGGAGGAGATTTTCGATCATGGAACGCTCCGCCGGTGTGCAGGCGGACGCCGACTGTTTGGCTCGTTTTGGTGGCTCCATTCCGTTTGTTTCACACCATTGAGCTATTAAGCTCCGTAATACGTAGTTTGGTATGAGTGCAGTACTGGTTAACTTTTGTTGCGTTTTGGGACATGTGCTGTGGCCTTGTTCCAACCATTTCTCTATACATGTTCGCTCATACGTCTATAAAAATGCAAAAAAAAAAAATATATATATATATATATATATATATATATATATATATATATATATAATAAACATGAAATTTCATGATTACGATATGAAAAAGGTGAAGTTCATTATCATTTACCTGTCCTGTGGAGACGATGACAGGATCTTTCATTAACTCGAGTGATATAGGGCAACGGAAATCATCTGGTATGATGCTGTTCTTGAGATTTTTGACTACTGTTCCTTGTGTGCAACTTGGAAGATGAGAAGTTTCTACTTTTGGATCATGAGTTTCTGTTTGTACGAAATCTTTGATTCGTTTTAGTAGTGATGACATTTTTTCTACAGTTTCTTCTGGATCTCCAGTTATGGTTACCATTTCGTGTAATGCTATTGATTCGTGTGTAAGGTCGGTTATTTCTGTTAGGTGTAGTTTTTCAGCCAATCGGTTTAAGACAGCTGGATCTTCTTCAACATTGATGTTTTTGTTGTAAAGAGATGAAAGATCTTCATATAGTTCAACATCTGGTGGATCGATTCTTCCTTTTGCTCTTCTGAATTGAGCAAGAACAAGCTCAACTTGTTCTTTTACTTCATCTGAGATGTCAAGATTATCAAAAGAAATTCCACTCAGATCTTGTTCCAATCGAGCTGTAACTTCTTGATATCTTGTCATGATTTGATCTCTCTCCAAGACCTGATTCAGAACATCATAATCAGAAAACAAGAAGTAATAAAGGATAAGGCAACATTTTGTGTACATGAAAGTTCAGTGTAAATTTACAAAAGAAAAACAACTTTATCTCCTTTTAGAGTAATTTCTTTTTTTTGTCTTGTTACACATCTTCAAATGGTAAAAGCCTAAATCAAGTAATTAGAATATATTTGAATTTAAAGTTATGTTGGTCTAAACATGGAGGCAACAAGAGCTTTCAGAATAATGATATGTTAATAGCATAATCTATAAAATCATTAGTTGACAGAATCAATAATTCAATATAACAATCAGAGTTAGGACAAGAGAAACCAGCAAAACAGATTTCCCAAAACAGAAAGACAAGTTGTCCAATTCTAACTGGCTTAATTGCAAACTCGTAAATTAATTCAATTGACAGAATCTCATGCATTAATATCAAAAGGAATTTTGGTAATAAAACGGTATTTAGTTTAAAATTTGTTTACTCTTGAATGCATAAAGCAACGTAATAATGTTTGTATTCTCTGACTTTTGAATAAGCATTGATTTCACTGTGTAAAATCTAGACATGTTTCAGACAGTAGTTGCAAATAAATGTAACTGTAGTGGTATTATACTATTATCTCTGAAGCACAATCTACAAGATCATACAGACAAAACAAGTAGATTACTCGAGATCTTCATTTTTTCGGGTGAAAAAACTAAGATTATATATCAACAAAAACGCTACTGGATGAATAAATTGATTGGAGTTAAAACGTATAACCCTAGGTGAGCTTCAAAGGATTCTTAATCGCCTAATTATTCAGTATGTCTTTAACAAAATCAGCTTTAAATTTTCACGGATTTTGAAATTTCATGTAGAAGATACAGCTCAATCATTAATGTTGCATCTTCCTACCAAATTAGGAACGAAAAATTAAAAACTACAAACAGAAGATAATCAGGATTTTGATACTCAAAGAAAGGATTAGATTCAATTGACAGAAACTTACCAAATATATCTTGCTGCCTTCACTCCCGATTCGAAGTAATTCCTTAGCAGATTCCATAGCCTCCATTAACGAAACCAAGGCTTGATGAGAATCATCAGAGAGTGGCTCCTTAATATCACGGATTTCTTCAAATAGTGGAGTTAAGAGCTTTAACCTCCTAGCTAGATTAGAGAAAAGCTTCTTCACTGTATACTGGTAGTCAGAGATTGCAGATATCTCGTTTACAATATCAATCAATTTCTGAATCAGTCCACCTTTCTCTCCTTCTTCCGCCATCCAACAGCTTCCTAACAAAAATCTAAAATGAAGACTAGAATAACACAGATTCAAAAGCTTCAAGAAATTCAGGGGAGAAGTTTCTGTCAATCGACGGTAATGGTGACCGGAGATCGGAGCAGGTTGGAATCCATTGAGAGAGAGAGAGAGAGAGAGAGAGAGATGGGTGAGAAGTAGGAAGAGAGAAGGGCTTTTTGTTGGAGAGTGGCGCGGCTGGTGTGAGCTTAACCTTACAAGTAACCAGGGTTTAGTGATGATTCTGTTTTTGGCAAAGTCTTACCTGGAAACGAGTTAACAATAATGACTCGGCTCAGCTCGGCTTGGATCCGAAAGAGCTAGTTGAGTTGAGTAGGGTAATGATTTGACTCGGCTTTCCACCACGTGTTCTGTCTGTTATAACTGACACAATAAGGTCTGTAATATCGTTAAGTTACACCAGTAACTTTCATCGTTTTCTACTCTTTTGTCATTCTTTTTGGCTCGTTTAAATTTATAAATACAATGCTGGATTTTAACTAAATTAAAATCTTTAGTTTTACTTTAACTAAATCCATCTCAATCAAATCTTTTTAAATACAGAGATTTACCAACCAATCAAACAATCAAACATGTTTATTAAAAGGGTTGATATCGGGTTCTCATCTGATTAACTTTTTTCCAACCCAATCTTTCCGATAAACATTTGACTAAACTAAATATCAAAAAATAAATAAATAAATAAATATATTTAATAAAATATGTTATATATTTCAATAGTTTTTCAAATGAAATTAAAAAAATGATAAAAAGTCCAATAATTGTTCTGGAAAAGAAATATAATTAAAATCATAAAAATAAAATAATTAAAATAAAAAAATATTCAATATAAATATTCAATAGATATAAATTAACTATAAATATACTTCTAATACAATTGGCAGCTTAAAATCAGATTGAAATTTCAACCATAATTCAACTCATTTAATTAAGAGAGAAAAAAAGACAAATATAACCATTTTTTAGGGAAAATGTCGCTATAGCTTTACTAACTTACAACTTTTGGTTTAAAATATCCCTTTTTTTCTAAGGATATGAAGTCTAATTTAGAAGGTTTAAAGGCTATTATTTTGAAAGTGAAGGTGTCACTGAGTGAATATTTTCTCAGTCATCAAGTGTCATTTGCCACTTCAATTATAAGTTTGTCACCTTACTTGTCACGTCAATTAAAACATGTCAATTCATTTCAATAACTAACCTACATAATGCTTCTTTTAGAACCTGAAGAACATATTCCTCATACCGTCATTTTGTGCTTCGTACCCTTTCTTCTACTGTTTCTCTCTAAAATCGCTTAAGTGGAATCTTGTTATGGCGGTTTACATGAAGATCGATCTTCATTTTGAATGTATTTTTATGAGGTACCCTATTATCAATTACTCAGATGGATCAAAGTAGAGGTTTAAGGATATCGATTTTGTTGGAATGGACAAGAACGAATTTGTGGTGTTCCTTGAAAGATTCGTCAATGAGAAATGTGTGAATGTTTATTACTACAAGCCCGACATTGATTTTCATGAAGGATTGAGGATAATAGCCACTGACATCGACTATATGGATTTCATCAAAGTAGGGTATATGCTTGTGGTTGTATACTTCTTGTATACATGGATAATCTTGGTGTCAATCTGCAGGAATGGCTTAATGATGAGAAAGTTGAAGTATTCAGTCTTAAAGACAAGCATTCTAGTGTAAGTGAAGTTCATGAAGAATTTCAAGATTATATGGATGTTGACATTGACCTAGATGAATTACAAAGTAATATGGATGTTGACATTAAACATGTTGATTGCATTCCTATGAACAAGACCATAAATGATGTGTTTTTCAGTAAGCTCTTCCCCAAGGCGCAACCAACCCCAGACAATTCACCTCATGAGGAGCCATTTGTTTCAGATGGATGACAATGAGGCAATACTTGAAGAGGTAACAACTTTTAATGAAAATGTTCATTGGAAAAAGCAAAAACATGTGTTAGGTATGAGATTTGAAAGTCATAAACAGTTAAAACATATATTGTGTAATTATGTTGTTGCTAATGGTTATCAGTTGTGCTACAAAAAAATGATAGTATGGGACTTTTAGTTAAATGTTGTTCTGACCTGTATAAATTTAGACTGTGAGCTTCATGGATGAGTGAAGAACACTATTTCCAGATTAAGTATCGCATAGATGAGCATAATTGTGCAAGAAATTTCAAATTGGGATCAATTTATGCATGGGTTGTCAGCCATTACACCACACAATTCTTACAAAAACAAATAATAAGTGTTTGGCTACTTAGGGAAGAGGTTAAACAGAAATATGGTATTTATGTGAGTATGGGACACTGTAGGAGAGCAAAAAAACATGTAATTCAGTTAATTGAAGGCACACTTGTTTAACACTATACAAAGCTTTGGTCATGTGGTGAAGAGATAAGAAGATCAAATCCAGGATCAATACTCAAAATGGATGTCAATTCAATGTTAGATGGAAAGACATATATTAGGAAGTTTTACATATGTTCTGATGGCCTAAAGCAAGGTTGGAGAGGGAGTTATAGAAGAGTGATAAACCTTGATGGTTGTTTATTAAAGCGTTCATGTAGTGGAGAGTTAATATGTGTTGTAGGAAGGGATGCTAATAATCATATTTTCTCAATTGCATGGGCAGTTGTCTGAGTGGAAAACAAAGAAAATTAAAAATGGTTTTTTGGAGAATCTTAAAGATGACCTAGGAATGGAAAATGGGTTTGGTATTACCTTGATGTCAGATCAACATAAGGTATGTCACTTACTACCCAATTTGATTTAAACTAAATTCAAGTTTAATTTTTTTAATAGATTACCATTACTATATAGGGGCTGTTAGAGGTTGTCAAAGAAATATTGCCTACTGTTGAGCATAGGCAGTGTTCAAGGCATACTCTTGCCAACTTTAGGAAAAGATTCATTGGTGTACACTATGAGAAGATGTTTTGGAAGACATTCAAGGAATTCACTGAGTCTTTATTCAATGCAGCCATGAAGGAAATCCAACTCCTTAATCCTGCAACATTTGCATACCTTATAGAAAAAATCCCAAATCATGAAGTAGATCATTCTTTCAAGAGGATAAGATCTATGATGTTGTTGAAAATAGATTATCTGAGAGATTTAATAATGTGATCAGTGATGCAAGGAAAAAACCAATCATCACAATGCTAGAAGAAATTAGATTATATGTTATGGAGAGGCTTTTCAGTTTGAGCATCAAAAGTAGTTCATGGCCTGAATATAAACCATGTCCAGTAATTACAATTCTACTCAATGAGTTTCAAAAAAGCTCAAAGGTAATTTCTTTACTATAAAATGCTTACTGTTAATAGATACTAACTTTAATACAATGTAATTAGGTATTGGTAGGTTTTGCCAACTGGTTTAAACCAGTTTGAAACAAGAAACTTGGCAGAGGCTTATGGTGTGGATCTAGATAAGAAGACCTGTACTTGTAGAGTGTGGCAACGTAATGGCTATGGATACGTAAATTCAGTTGCAACTATCTCTTTTCTGAATACATATGTTGGTACTTATGTGGATCCAATATACTATGCAAAATTTTATAAGAACATTTATAAGTATCCAATGCATGGGATGAATGGTAGAAATATGTGGCCATCTACTGACACCATACTACCTTTTCTACCATTGAAGAGAAGAATGCCAAGTAGACCTACAATCAACAGAAGAAAGGATCCAAGTGAAAGGAGTGCAAGACACACTGTGTCAAAGATTAAGAAAATAATTTTGTGCAGTGTGTGGAAACAAGTGGGACATAACAAGGTAACATGTCCTCAAGTTGAAAAGACCACAAAAATCAAGGTAAAGAAAAGGAAAAGAACATAGGGAAGATGGTAAAGATAGGGAAGGAAACAATGGAAAAAAACCAACTAAACATGCAAGGACATAAGACTAATGGAAATAGGGTACAGGTAAAACGAAGAAGTCTGAAAGAATTATCAAGAAAAAACTAGGTAAAGGGTTGAGGGTAAGAATGGGGAAGGAAATACTGGTGAAAACCTAATGGAAATTGACTATGAAATGTGCAACGTCCGAAAATACTGAGTAAAAATTTCATTTTTAAACAACCCAAAACATTCAACCATTTGTTCAAAAGACCATCAAAGTATAATCTATTCTCAACATCAGAGTGAACCATAAAAGATAGTGTGGAATAAAACTCCAGGGGATGCAGTGCGATCAGGTCGAGCCCTTCCCTTTTGTACCAGAAGTACCTAAAACATTTAAACATAAAACCATAAGCACAAAGCTTAGTGAGTTCCCCAAAATACCACATACTATACATAATCATAAACAAGCAACACGGCATATTTCAAACATTAGGCCTATTTCATCCCAAGTGAAGGCTATGGGCCAAAATCATAGATTTACAATCACTCCGACAATAGCCTATTTCAGCCAGCGGGCCTATTTCATCCCAAGTGAATGCTACATGCAAAAATCATAATCTTACAACACTTCCGCAATTGCTATGGGCTCCCTCATGGTCTTTCATACAAGCATGCAACAAGAGTCACAAAGACAACAAGCACTAAACGACACAAAGTGTCATACATAATATAGTAAGAAAACTCACCTCACCATAGAAGTCGGATATACCACAACTCACAAAGTCATGAAACCAATGCTACAACCCACCTAACAAAATATCCAAGGTAAAACCTTAGTGTAACATCCCAAAATACCAATAAAAAATTTCATTTTAAACATCAAGTCATACAACCAATTCTTCCACAACCAAATAAAGTAATATTGTATTTTTCAAACATCAGAGTATCTCAAAAGTAACCAATGCGGAAAAACCATCAGGGGATGCGATGCAGTCAAGTCGGGCTCTTCCCTTTGCAAATGGAAGTACTTAAAAATGTTAAACCACAAACCGTAAGCAAAAAGCTTAGTGAGTTCCCAAAACTACCACATACCATACATATATTGACATTAGCTACCCCATGGTCTAACATACAAGTGGCATGGGCTACCCCCATGGTCTTTTCCTTGAAATGTCATGGGCTGCCCCCATGGTCTTAACATCCAGGTGTCATGGGCTACCCCCATGGTCTTTCCTTGAAATGTCATGGGCTGACAGTCTAACATCCAAGTGTCATGGGCTACCCCATGGTCTTTCATGAAAAATGCACGGGCTAACCCCCGGGGTCTTCCATGCAAGTATCACAAAGACAACTAGGATCCTACATAACACAATCCAGTGGGTTGGCATTGGTGCCTTCGACCCACAAGTACAGAGAGAAGCCTCACCTTAACCCTGTAGATAGGATAAACCACCCACTCAAGCCGGTGATATCAAGCTTCCCCTTGCTAAACATAACCACAATAAAACCCTAAATAACAATTAAGGAAATGACAGGTCCACAAAAGGTCTAGGATCACAATTAAACCTCCTTTGGGTAAAAGACCATATTTGTAACACCCGTAAAATTCAAGCCAATTTAAAACTTTTTAAAACATTTAAAACCATTAAGTTATTACAATTTGTTTTCAAAATAGTTTAAGCATTAGAGTATCCCCATAATCAATAATGAAAATATGAGGAGGTGCACGTTCACGCCTTCGCCTTCCCGCGATCATCAGAAATACCTGAAATAAAATCAACAACTGTAAGCCCGAAGCTTAGTGAGTTTCCCCAAAATACCAACGCCATATAAATATAACCATATCATATAACAAATACAGAACATCATGCATAATGAACCTTCAGCCTGACTGGACCGCCTCGCAGGGCCTACATCCTATCTGGACCGCTCCCGAGCCTTCGGCATGACTGGACCGCCTCGCAGGGCCTACAGCCTATCCGGACTGCTAACCGGGTATGTTGGCCTACAGCACAAAGCAGGACCGCCTCAACCCAACCCCCAATCAAACAAACATGTGCATATAAATATCATACGCTAGCACATATCATATAACAGTCAAACCGACCTAACAGATCACTAATCATTGCAACATCCCAATAACCGGGATACAGACCTAACCGGTCACTAACATAGCATCATCCTATAACCAGGACAATCATGTGCACATAGATATCATATAACACTAGCATGTATGTATATAACAGTCAAACCGATCTAACAGATCACAAAGCATAGCAACAATCCATAACCAGGATATCGACCTAACATGTTACTAACATAGCCTCATCCTATATACCAGGATACCGACCCAACCGGGTCACTAAAGCATAGCATATCACCATTCTAACTACCAGGATGTAAATCAGTAAGCATAACATGCAATAATACGAATACAATTCATAAAGGGTCGGCCTTGGTGCCTTAGACCCTGTTGATATAGTGAGGATAACTCACCTGACACTACTGAAGTCCCGCCGATAAAACTTCAGCTGCTGGTTGACAGATTCCCGAACTGTCAACATCAAACAACACCCAATTAATAATTGGGTTCCAAGCCCAAAGTCCAAATCACACACTAAAGGCTCAATAGTCAAGTAATGGGCCAAAGCCCAACATATGGCCCAATTTTCCAAATTGGGCCCAGACCTCTACATGGTCATAATTAAAGGCCCAACTACTTAGTCCAGCCCAACATTTGGCATTTCCAATGGCCCAAAATCATATAATCATCAAGGCCCAAACTATGGCCCATCCACGACCCAATTTTCCAAATTGGGCCCACACCCTCGAATGGGCCTTACCCTAAGCCCATCAATATATTCTAGTCCTTATGATTATTCTTGGATGGCCCATTAATAATCCAATTACCAAAGCCCAATAGAAAGGCCCAAATAAAGGCCCAAGTGAAATTAAGGTTTCATATAATGTGACAATTAGGGTTAAGTGTTTCTCACTTAACCCATTAAGGACTTAATCCATTAAGTCCCTTACTTTACTAAATAAGTCATATGTTGTGATTGGGCTTAATACACGATTTCATTCCAATGGACCAAATGTGGGTCTCGATAAGTCCAAGCCCAAAATCCCAAAATTACGGTTTGCACATGACATGATGATTAGGGTTAAGTGTTTCTTACTTAACACATTAAGAACTTAATTCATTAAGGACTTAATCCATTAAGTCCATTATTGCCTTAAGTTAGTTTTCCAATGATTATTATTTAATATTTCAAGTTTATTAAATAATTCCCATGTGTGTGTCCCGATCAATTTCCACAAGTTAGGGTTTTATGCCCTTAGGGTTTTTTTTTCCAACCTAATACTAGTTCATTAGTCCATTGGTTGGGCTTTTAGGTCACATTGGGCCTTATTGGCCCATTAGGGTTCCCTTGGGCCCACTAGGGTTTCTTTGGGCCCATTAGGGTTTCATTGGTCCCACATTGTCCAAACATCCCCCAAACGAGGTCCAAACATAATCAAAGCACACCGCCACCCGACACGGCGGCCGGTGGCGGCAGCCACCACCTCACAGTGGTGGTTAGAGTTTCATTTCATTATTCCGATTTCTAGTTACATTTTACAATGCTAATCCCAACTAAACACGCACAACCACTACTAATACAAACACATATACACAACAACCTAGTGGTGGCCGGCGGTGGCACGTGGTGGCAGCCACCACCTCACGGCGGTGGTGGTGGCTGTTCTTGAGGGTTCCAGCCAACGAAGCCAAGTACAACACACACACACATACGCCTTTGACTTGCGAAATAGACCCAACCACCCACCTGGCGGCGTTTCGCGGCAGCAGGTGGCGGTGATTAGCTTCCTTCCCGTCCGAGAAAGTCCCCGGTTGCTCACAACCATGCAGCAGCGAACACGTCAGTCCATCAGCCTCCGACGGTCACTCGAACTGCCCACAACGTCTTCGGCAGCAGCAGTGTGGTGGTGGTGTTCATGGCGAACAGCGGTCATGCAAATCTTACTCGGCGTCCCACAGATTCATCCCAACGCGAAACTCTTCGTCGTTGCCGGCTGAAGGAAGAGAAAGAGAAGGGTGGCGGCTTCTTCTGGTCGTTGTCGTCGGCGGAGCAGCAGCAGCGGTGGCACCAGTGTCTTCAACAACAATGGAGACAACAACACCCGCCAGGTGGTCATCTGTCGGCGACAAGAGCTATTCGACTCGATGGCGCTTCGGTTCCAACATAGATGGCTGCGGCTGAAGGTGGAGGAAGGAGGTTGGCATTCGGAGGGGAAAAGATAAGGGTGGCAGCGCCGATGAGGAGAAGACGGCTGAAAGATCATCCTGGCGGCTGCACATAGGGTTAGGGTTAGAGAGAGTAGCGATGGGTTTTATACCCCGATTCCTTTGAACTTTTCCCATACTAACAAAAACAGTCCCTCCTTGTATTATTTCTTTCAAAACTAATCCAAAATTTACCATTTCGACCCCTCCTGAAAACCCTTACAATTCAAGTCCAAATAATACCAAACACCCCTTGACTCATGAAAATCTTTACAAATTAAGTTCCACAATCACACTTTAACCCCTAGAGATTCAAATCTTGTCATTTGGCTCCCCGAAACCAACACCCCACTAATTATTATTTAATTTTGAGCTCTAAATAAAATAAAATAATCATAATAATTACTTCCAGAGGTTCCTGATTTATTATTTAATTACTCTTCTTAAGACGGGATGTTACAACTCTCCCCCACTTAAATTTGATTTCGTCCTCGAAATCGTTTCTTATCATTCTTACACGCCAAACAACTTGAATTACTTGGCTACAATCCTGAGTGAAACTCTAGCCTCTCCAAGGCAACCATGTCCAACCCTCGAAGGGTCCTAAAACCGGGAAAATAAACGAATCCCTTACAATATGATCACACTTACTCTATCCGAAATCTGGAGTCTCAAAATGGTCTGGCGTCTGGACAGACTGCCCATATTGGATCATTGCCGAGTTCTTTGCACTTTTCTCCCAACTAGCTATTCAACTGCTAATAACCTGGGTTCCCACCCGAAATAGAATCGCAATTCCCACACTGCTACCTACAACTCTCTCCTCGACAAGAGATTAGGTACTCCTTCTAGAGAAATTCGTTCTGATAACCAATCCCTAGCGATATATTGAACAACGAGATGTAAACTAGGTGATGACCCCTTTTGGATCAACATAACAGTGTTTCATTTGGTTCCTGAATCACATACATATAATGACCGGCTCATAAGCTCAAACACTCATACTTGGGCCAATCAGCCTCGGGCTGGAATACCAGGCATGCCCACGACGGGTCCATGCGTCATATCCTGACGTCACCAAATCCAAGGCTAAAAGTGATTGCTACATGACCAACGGTAGACTTATTTCTCAAACGGCCTTAAGCAATCCATTACTTCCCCGATCTCGTAACTATAGTGACGTTTCTACAGTCTTATTACCGGCTCAACCAGATCTAATCCACTTCGTGGATTTCCATATCCTCACTGCTGCACTCGAACTGGTGGGTACTACTATTCCTTCCGCGTTCTAACAACATGCTCATGCCATCTACCAACCTAGTGAATGCTACGGCTACACCCTCAGTCTCACGACACTCTATCACTATCTGACCGCTAGTGAATGCTACGGCTACCCCGCAGTCTTACAACACTTTCCATGCTAACTGATCGCTAGTGAATGCTACGGCTACCTCCGCAGTCTTACAACACTTTCCAACCGGGTCGAACATGCACTCGACCTAACACACAACTGAACTTAATTCATGGCTAAAATTCCAACCTGATTTCCTAAATTCTGCTATCAAGCACTGAGAAGACGCGATTCCCATGCTGGGGAGTTTTACCTAACTCCCAACTCACACAACCCTCAAACCTAACAGTCACTTGGGTGGTATTCCTTCCTGACCACGATACGAAACTTATCCCATTTTTAAACCGCTTCTTCTTCCAAATCCCGCGATAATTCTCCCCTACTTAGATTCGACTAAGTCTTCACAATACATGAAAGTTTGAGAATTCCCAATCCTTCTTACTTTCTAACGATCGATCTGATGACAACCAGCCCCTTCCAACTAGTATTCCTTTACTAGCCAACCCCCAAATGATCACACGCTTCTAACAACTAGATGAACACTTCTTGAATCCTAGGTAAACCAACAGTCCCGAATGCTCGAATTATCCCACACGCAAATCTTGAAGTCCAAAGATAGATGCTCTTAACTAATGCCTCAACAACGAGCTACTTCCCTTGGCGCTTTCCTCTGCCAGTCAATAACGCTTACTAAAACCACTGATTCCTGACAATTCTGAATAACCATCTTGTGGAACCCTGTCCGCGGACCTCCCATATAATACCCTTCTTCCCAAAGTGCTCCAACAAATCTCCCGCTCTCGGCTCTAGAAATCATATCATTCAGGGTCTCGCACCCTGACTCACTGACCAGCTTGATCATCCACAACTGAACTACAAACAACATTTTCCCTAAACTGGGCTATAACTACTCCCAAGACATAGTCTACAATCCCAAAAGTGCAATAGATCGCACAATCAATCCTTACCGCCCGATACAAGAGATCCAAGGCGAACCGGACCTCACAACACACTTATGCCACATCGAACCACATGCGCTCACTGGCGCTGAAATAATGTTGTCTATCCCTGCAACCAACTAACCCCGAGCTGGAATACAACCTGATCCTGGGTTCACAAGCCTGCTCACTCCCTTGAGCTCGAAAAAATGAGAGGGCACAATTCTTTCCCTACAAAATGACAATCCAATCCATCAATTAACCATTCCACTTCCAGCTGGAAAACCCCAGCTGAACATAGTCATCACTCCTTTTCGGAGTCCCCGCGACTCTCATTCCGGCCTCGAGCAAACCCCCAAGCCTAAAATCTAGAAACTCATGTACTAGCCTCTCCCGCTCAACCCGCGGAAATATAACGAGTACCGATCATCTTTCTGATCCCAGATAATTGTAGCCCTCTACTCATCAGAACACGTCTCAGTAACAAGTTCCCACCAGTCCTTCCCCCCGAACCTCAGCAGGTTCAGAGCTTGCCTGACGTTCTGGTCAGTAGGACATGAACATGTGAAGCAACATCCCTCCATATCATATGGCCACCTCATGGCTATGACCGGGTCCTAAACCCTACCGAAGGTCGGGGCTTCGCGTTATCGAAGTCCCGATACTGGAAGGCCCGACTGGATCCTCCCCCTGCCGACGTTACAGCTGTTGAAGCTGCTGCGACAGCCGTCTCAACAATGGCTGCATAGCGCTCGTCGAAATACTCAACCATGGCGGTCTTAATAGACCCACGCATCTCCAGTAACTTTCCCCAGACAAACTCGATCACCTCCTCCCGGATGATCTCACTGACACGGTCCTCTGACAATGCTGGCCTATCCTGGCTGGCAGCTCCCGTCCTAACCTGGATCCGGTCTCTAGACGTCTCGTAACCACCATTCTGGTATGACACTAGGAAGATCTCTGATAACCCATATAATGACAAAGAACCAATTCCAAACCAAACCCTAGGGGTTGTGACTTCCTTGCTACACGTATGGGTCCTGTGCTTTCAGTAGTACGGGCCCATACTACCTTCCACACCTACCCATATTTGTCTCAAGTATCATCACAACGCCTTAACAGTATACGTAATCATAGCGAACGCTCAATCCTCACTCCTAGAGGAATGCTAAATATCACATAACTGGCCTCCCGGCCTCACACAACCCACCCATCCATGAAACTTCCACCAACCCTGCAGCACTAGTGTATGCTGGCCATACATAACGCTGGACCCTATAGACTTTCGAATATCCAATCCTACCCTAAGCTCCCAATCAAACAAGAACAGAACATAAGACCAAATCAAACATTCCCAGGCTATAAGATCTTAATTATGTATAACCGTGATGCATACACTAAGCAACTACAGTAATGATGTCAATCTCATATAAAGGAAACCCTAGGCTAGCAGACATCATGTAATCAGGCAATTCTATCATGCATTTCCTGAAGATCCCTAGCCTAGCACTAGCATGCTGTTCTAACATATCACATCATCAAATACTGTATGGAGTTTTGGGGTCTACTTACTGGCTCCGGCTGATCGTACACCCAACATCCTCCTTTACTTATTTTGAAAACCATTTTGGAAGTCATTTTGAAAACCTTTCCTTGATTTAAGACTGGATTCACACGAATGTTCCTCCAATTCACTCAAACCAAGGCTCTGATACCAACTTGTAACACCCGTAAAATTCAAGCCAATTTTAAACTTTTTAAAACATTTAAAACCATTAAGTTATTACAATTTGTTTTCAAAATAGTTTAAGCATCAGAGTATCCCCAGAATCAATCATGAAAATATGAGGAGGTGCACGATCACGCCTTTAACTTCCCGCGATCATCAGAAATACTTGAAATAAAATCAACAACTGTAAGCCCGAAGCTTAGTGAGTTTCCCCAAAATACCAACGCCATACAAATATAACCATATCATATAACAAATATAGAACAGCATGCATAATGAGCCTTCAGCCTGACTGGACCGCCTCGCAGGGCCTACAGCCTATCTGGACCGCTCCCGAGCCTTCGGCATGACTGGACCGCCTCGCAGGGCCTACAGCCTATCCGGACCGCTAACCGGGTATGTTGGCCTACAGCACAAAGCAGGACCGCCTCAACCCAACCCCCAATCAAACAAACATGTGCACATAAATATCATACGCTAGCACATATCATATAACAGTCAAACCGACCTAACAGATCACTAATCATTGCAACATCCCAATAACTGGGATACAGACCTAACCGGTCACTAACATAGCATCGTCCTATAACCAGGACAATCATGTGCACATAGATATCATATAACACTAGCATGTATATATATAACAGTCAAACCGATCTAACAGATCAAAAAGCATAGCAACAATCCATAACCAGGATATCGACCTAACAGGTTACTAACATAGCCACATCCTATATACCAGGATACCGACCCAACCGGGTCACTAAAGCATAGCATATCACCATCCTAACTACCATGATGTAAATCAGTAAGCATAACATGCAATAATCCGAATACAATCCATAAAGGGTCGGCCTTGGTGCCTTAGACCCTGTTGATATAGTGAGGATAACTCACCTGACACTGCTGAAGTCCCACCGATAAAACTCCAGCTGCTGGTTG